TGCAGCATCTTCCTTTTGCCCTCTGCCCATCATGCAAAATGTCAAAAAAAAAAAAAAAAAAGAGAGAGAGAGGGAGAGAGAGAAGTCAAAGCAAAAATCCCCCCTGGAGAGGCCACTGGAGACCCCACCAAAGCCTCAGAAAATCCAACAGAAAGACCAAAAATGCCACTTTGGGTGGCTTCAAAGGGCACTGAAATCAGGACGGAAACAGGCTGCCCTGCGGTGTCTCGAGGGATTTGGCACTCACGTGGTCGCGTTCAATATTTCTTGTGTTTTTTTCCTTTTTGTTTTCTTTTCATACAGTCTACTAAAGAGAACAAACTGTCACGATATAAGGAAAAATAACCCAAAAACCCAGGATCTCCCCCCACCTGGAAAAAAAGCAGCTATCCCGTCAGTGAAAGTTTTGCTTTTTGCACACACTCTGTTCATTAAATCGTTAAGATGCAATTTAAGAGGAAATATTTAGATATTATATATATATATATCTCACTGTATAGATTGGCCAGGGTGGGAATTTGCTGGGATGGGGTGGGGGGGTGGTGTGTGAATGTTTTGCTGATTTTATTTTCTTCTTTTTTTTCTATTCCCTCTTGTCTCTGCCTTCGTCTCCATCATGATTTCTAATTAATTAATGGGTGATTAATGGTGTCATTTTGGTTCGCTGCTCCATGGTGCCATTGCCCTCCCGCCCCCTGGCCAGGTGCATCCGGGGGGCTCTAGACGCCGGGGGGTGCCTTTTCCGAGAGGTCTTTCAGCACGTCGTCGATCCTGTCGTCCTCGATGACCACTGGAAAAAGCGGAGAAATGCAGCAGTTAATTTACTTGCCCAGGAAAATGGTTGGTGGCCCGGGAATATACCGACTGCCCAGGATACTAGACCTTGGGAAAATGCAGGGTTCCCGGGAAAGACACCCGCTGTCCTGGGAAATACCTGGTGCCCAGGGTCTTACAGCCTGGAAAATACCTGGGCTCCTGGAAAATACCCAGAGCTCTTTCCACTGGGGAATACCCAGTGTCCAGAGTCCTACGATATGGAAAATGTCTGGGGTTCTGGATAACATCCAGTACCTAGGAGTGTCCTACACCCCGGAAAATACCCAATGCCCTGGAAAATACCTGGGACTCAGTGTCCGGTACCTTGGGAGGTACCTGATGCCCTTGTAAATATCTAATGCACAGGATCCTATACCTGGGAAAGTACCCACTGCCCTGGAAAACATCCAACACCCAAGGAGGTTACACCTCGAAAAGCAGCCAGTGCCTCCGAAAACACCCAGTGCCCAGGAGCTCTCCGGTACCCAATGCTCTTTCCTCTCGGAAATATTTGGTGCCCTGGAAAACACCCGGTGCCCAGGGAGTCCTCTATCCTGGAAAACCCCTGGGGCCCTGGAAAACACTCGGAAAAGACCCAAAACCCCGGAAAAAAAAAAAAAAAAAGGCCCTGAAAAACATACGGAAAAGACACATGGAGCTGGAAAAAGCCCGGAAAAGACACGGGGGAGCTGAAAGAAACGACCGCAAAGATCTAATCCCCTGGGGGGAAAAAAGGAAAAAAAAAAGAAAAAAAAAAAAAGAGAAGAAAAAAAAAAGCCCGGAAAAGACCAAATTCCCCAGAAAACGTCAAGGAAAG